GTCCTCTGGTCTTCATCAGCTTTACAGCATTGTTGTTTTTCAGTACTTTGCCTTTTAATATATTATATATATTAGTCGTTGAAACAAAAAATTATACTATTGAACACTACTTATTTTCGCATAGAAATTTTCAGCCAGTCCTCTGGCTTTCATCAGCTTTACTGAATGCACAAGATTGGCTGTTGCAAGATATTCTGTTCTATTTTCTCTGTGGTTATATACTGTACAATATAAACGGATTATAGGTAAATTATCTAATAGTTTATGCTGTAATATACAAAGTGAAATTCGACAGAGATAAAAAAAAATTTGACCTATTTTATTTATGTGCGTTGGACCGTTGCCGGTAGCTGCAATAATTCTAGACCTTATTCTTCAAAATAAAAGAATCTTTGTATTGTCCATCTCCATTGACCATATAAATTGTAAATTTATCCCTGCTTTATATTAAACTCTAACCACATTACAAGGTGAACGTTCTTGGGTGGATCAGTGTAGTTAGTCAGTCTCACCCTGGATCAAACACGCTCCATGACTAATATTTTACTGAGTTCAATACAGCTTCGTATGCTATAAAGTACAACATGGTTTCTAAGCTGGACGTGGGATATGCGTGGATTGTCGCCATAGCAAGTTGGGTAGCGACTGTGATAATATTTATGGTAACATCAAATGGAATATATTTTCCTTATATGATTGACTACTACGAAGAAAGCTCCACAAAGGTTGCAATGGCACTTACACTAATTCGTTCACTTAAATATTCTTGCGGTACGTTTGGTATGGTTTTTTATTTTTAATTTTTGTTCATCATATGCCTTAAGATTAGATGTAATGTGGTTGTGTCGAAGAAAATGTTGGTATTTTAAGTCCGCACGTGAATGGGTCACGTCCATCCGCTCTCGTCGGAAACATATGCGGCCCTCACCCCGTCTGGGGTATTGGACCCTTCGTTTTACAAAAAAAAAAACGGCCCCAACAGGAATTCGAACCCGGACGCCGCTACCTCCCCTGTATCTGCAACTAATAAAAGTATTTTCACAAAATTGAGAAACTAAAAAGACCTGCCTTATCGAATGTAATAATGATCCATGTGCTATTACTTCTAGGTGTGTTTGCAGCAATTATGGCCAAAGCATTCGGCTGCCGAGTTGTAATGATTTCTGGAAGTTTTATGATGATGTGTGGCTGTCTTTTAATGACATACTCAACGAGTATATTTGAAGTTTTCTTGGCTTGCAGTCTTTTTGGTGGGTTTTGAAATTGTTTTAATGTTCTTGTACAGTAGATGTCAAAAAATGTCAAAAAGGTCTATGCTTTATACCGTCTTTGATATATTTATTTCATTCTATTTAATATCTTTCATTTTTCTCTCTGCTTCAGGTTTTGGAATATGTTTGGATCATTATACAACTTTCTTTATCATAGACGTTTATTTTAAAAAGCATTTCACATTAGTGATGTCAATAAAAGTAGGAGTAACTGGAATAGGGCATATGATGGCACCGTATATCAACCAGGTAGGACTACGGCAGCTGATAGGATTTCAGAAATCACTACGTAACGACTCGTAATCGGCACAGACTGCTCTACATAATTTTAACTGTTTTTTTTTTTCTTTTTACGAAATAATAATTTATTAACTAATAAGTTAACAAAAACAGTGTTCAGATTATAAAACACACAAAACAAAAAAAAAAACATGAATTTTTCTTCTTATCTCTCAACTATGCAGATGCTAGTTACTAAGTTTGGATGGTAACATTCGTATCTTCTTCTTTCGGCGCTTATATACCACCTAGTTTTGTGCGGAGTGATATTCAGACCACCAAGAGGAAGTTCTGATGAAAACCTTGAAGAACTTTCTCTTTTGGAAGTGGAGCACGAACATAATTGTCTCGAGCTTGAAATACAAAATAGAATAACTCCAACAGATGAAAACAAGCGTCTTAATTGGTTGCAGTATATTTACGAAATATGTCATTTGCGTTTGTTTAAGAAACAATCTTTTGTCATTCTTGTTGTCGTTGCATTAATACAAGGAGCAACTGAGGAAGGAGTTGAAGTTATTATGCCGGATGACATGCTAGAGCGAGGCGCTAGTCTACATAGCAGCCAGTTAATTTTGACAGCTTACGGAGCAAGTAGTATTTTCGGAAGACCTTTTCAGTATATTGTCAGCAAATTCGTTTTAAACGATTTGCTTATCCAACTAGAACTCACTTATTTCTTTTCATTTCTGTCCTTAGTAATTTGCAATACAACAAAAACTGCTAACGTTGTTTATGTGGCGATGGTTTTTTTTGGTTTTTCTATGGGTTGGTACAGTGCAATCACACCACTCCTTGTGAAGTCTGTGAGTGATGATTTCTCATTTGGAATTGCTTGGGTCGATACTTCTTTTGGTGTTGGCGCATGCATAGGAGTTCCGTTGGTTGGTAAGTGGCAGTCATAAATAAAAGTCTGCATTTGAACAGTCAAAATGTGAGCATAGCATGCAATAACACGCTATAGCAATATTGTACTCTGATTTGTATTAATATTGTGCGTGTATTTTAAATGTTGTGATATCGACATTATTAATGGAACTATTATTAGTAAGTGGTAGCCATTAAAAAACAAAACATCAGCATACCATACAGTTACAGAATAAGCAATACTATATTCTGATTTGTATTAATGTGTTTCTTTTTATTTTGTGTTATTGACATAATATATTTCTATTTCCCTTATGCAGGCTATCTTCGAGACACAAGTGGAAATTTTTGGTTTTCCGAGTTGGCATTGTTATGTTTTACATTGATTAATATGGTGATAATTTTTGGTTTTATTGTGTGGAAAAGACCAAGAAAACAAAGCCAGACATTCTAAGATTATTTCTACTTAATTTATTTTTTTATCGATGAGTGATTTTATTATCTTCGGCTGATTTAGAACATTAAAACCAACCCAAGTAATAATTGAATGAGTTGAGCCGGGTTTTTCCACCTAGACTGAACTAGGCCAAAATAAGCCTAGATGTAAACAGAAAATAAAATGCGCGAATTACAAATATGAATATTTCGCGCGAATACTTACGCTAGCACTCATTATCGCCCAGTATAGACATCTTGCTAGTTACGCCATAGATTAACGCATGCCCACAACCCGCAGCTGTCCGTCGAAAAACTTAAATAGCAGAAGAATGAGCTGTTCCGCGTATTTGCATTAAAATTAATGGAACATCCGCCCTCCCGCGAGTGCGGTAAAATTTGACCATTTGACCATATTTGACTGAGTGCAGAAACTACAGGAAACAAATTAACCAGCATCTTTACTACTGTATTGATGTATAGCGCCGCCGCACGGTCGGGGTAAAATTGCTATCTGTGTCATCCTGATGATGACATAATTATGTCAAAATATTGAATCCCGACACGATGGCGTACATTTCGATACTTGGAGTATGTATTATACTATCTTATCTGAGATTAGTCAGTGGACCTTTCGGTTTTATAGGTTTATATAACAATGACAGAATATAAAAGCTTTAACAACAATATTTTCACCAGACTACCAAAGATACAAACAATGATGATTTCTTCTATGCAAATAAAAGCTAATGTCGGTATTCAAATTTAAACAATGTTCTAACTTCCAGAAGAGAATATTTTGTTGTGTTGAGAATAGAGTGCTACAGTGTTACGTCACAATACTACGTGATACTACTCCGTTGCTATCGTGGCAAAAAGAGTTCAACTGGACGCCATCTTCTTTACTGACAAACCATTGATCCCAATTCAGTTCAAACGTAATTATTAAGATGTTGTATCTTACTTTTTCTTTGTAAATTTTCATTGATGATTAAATGTGTGTTCGATAACTAATATAATGCGAGCTTTTGTGTTTTAGTACAAAAAAAATGATAATGGTATGAATATAAACATCAAAATATACACAACATACGGCAAGATAATGTTTTGTGTATATAATGCTCTATTGAATAGGCCCAATACTGATAGTTGCTGATAGTTTTTAGTAGGACGATCTTGTTAGTAATATTGTAATGGAGGTTTAGGTATCAGAATGAGCCCAGGACTTGATGTGTGAATACCAAGAAATGGTTTATTATTAATAAATAACTGCATACAATAACAGTAAATCCAGTCTAATGCACTTGAAATAAAACGATCTTATATTCACTATAATCATTTCTTAATTTCCCTCTAAATAGTAATATTTAGGACCACTTTTTAGAGGGATTCTAATTATAGACCAAAGCTGCTAAAGACCACCAAAAACCCTAGTCCCAAAAGTGATCTTTAATATAACATACTTTTATGTATATTTCGTTAAATTTTACTCACGGTACCATACCCAGGCCCGTATTTAGTGGGGTTCGGGGGGTTTGTCCGAACCCCCGCGGGAGATGGAGTTCCGTGAAAATTAGGAAGATTTAAATTTTCGGAAAAAGGGATTCCATGTAGCGGAGGACAGAATAAAAATAAATATAAATTTTTATTTCTTTTTTTCAATTTTTCATGGCGGCTCGTACGCTAACACACTTATAATAAAATTTTAATTTTATTTTGAAATCCACTATTTCGGAATCGGAGGGTTCGCTAAACAAGGTATATAAAAGTCTCGCCTTACTTAAAGCACTAAAAATGTATATTTATTTATACTGTAAAGGGCCTGAGGCCTATCACACTGAATAAAGTCCCCATTTAGGGGAGAGAAGAAGAAGTATGTGGGTTTTGATAAGGAGTTCCTGATAGTCCCAAGCCGAACCCCCCCCCCCCATTGAAATTCCTAAATACGGGCCTGGTACCCGAACGCAATTTGTTTTGTTTCATTTTTACTTATATCGCCGTAAAACACTAACACATAACGAATGGTATAATGTCAATCACTGGTAATTATAACTTTTTGTTATAATTTACCTTATAAGTGAATTTTAGAATTAAAAAATAATGATGATGATAATGATGATGATAATATAGATGACAATGATAATAACGCTAGATTTAAAATCCATGATGACAAGCGGAAATAATAACAACTCAATGGCTATCATATATAATATGTCAAAGGTCAGAAATGGCATTTCCAGTCATTTTTTAGCAAACTAATTTATTAGACCAAATAGAAACATGAATATTCTGAACAAATTGACACCACAATTAACTCTCTACCACCAGTGGTTGCGGAGATATTAGGGCCATATGACTATGATCTTGAAACATGTCAAAGGTCAGAAACAGCATTTCCGATGATTTTTTAGCAAAATTTTTTTTTTAGAACAAATAGAAACATGAATGTTCCAAACAAATTGGCACCACAATTAACTCTCTTTTTTCTGGTCATTTTTTTAGCAAAATGTTCTATTAGAGCAAATAGAAATATGCATGTTCTGAACAATTTGGCACCAACCCTCTACCATCTGTGGTTGCGGAGATACAAGGATCTTATAGCTTTGACCTTTAACCCTGATCTTTTGACCTTTTGCCACATTTTGAAAATATGTTACCAAGCCAAAAATGTTCTTGGACCATTTTCAACCAATTTCTGAAGTCAAATTCTCTACACCTCAAAGTGCATACAAAACCTGGTCTGGCTCCTAGGGTATATAACAAAGCTATACCGACCACAGACTTTAATTAGTAGCAGTTCCTCCACTATAATTTAGAAATAATAGCAGAGAGGGCACTCTATTTTGTGAATTTTACTTAGAGGGCACTACTATTTTTTTTGTCTCAAAGTTGGCAGGTATATCTTAATGATATTTCACAATCTATCGGAAATGGTATCTGTAGCATTTTTGCTGATGATGTAGTTGTTTACACATCCAGTAACAACGTAACCATAATTAATGATTCATTACAAAATATAATGAACAATGTAAAAAAATGGTATAAAGATGTGTATAAGAGACAGGAGATTAGTCAGTGGACCTTTCGGTTTTATAGGTTTATATAACAATGACAGAATATAAAAGCTTTAACAACAATATTTTCACCAGACTACCAAAGATACAAACTTTCGACCATAGGTCATCATCAGGTACTGATAGGATAGTGGAATGAACAGGGTTATATAGAGAACATATACAAAAGAACCGGTGGCATCGGTAAAGCCTAAACGGCGGTACTGGCGGCATAGTGAATGAACATAGTAAGACAATACAAACAGCTACGCCTAGAAGGCGTGTAATGACATAGGTCTAAAAAAAGAAAACAAATCAAAGGCAAAATAAAAGTCATAGTATAATGGTCACAGAATGCATCATAGCAAGATAAATAAAATAACAAATTAATCTCTAAAAGATTTAAATGAGACGTTCAGTCCATGAGGTTTAAAGTACCTAGTTGAAAAATAATACGCTCCTCCAAACGTCTACGATTAAATTCAGATGAATTACATTGTTTGATACAGGTAACTAATATATCGTTATTAATATCATGATTATCATTAAAATGTTCAGCTATAGGAAGACCTGATGTGTTAAGATTGATAGAGCGCAAATGTTCAACGAATCTATCTCCAAGCCTCCTTTTCGTTTCTCCTCTATAAACCTTATTACATTTAACACAAATAATAGCATATATAACATTACAACATTACTAGAGGTACATGTAAATTTCTCTCGAATAGAAAAATTACTGGAAGGTCCTACGATAGTATCCGTACATACAACATGCTTACATGTCTTACATCTACTTCTATTACACCTAGTCATGCCTACATTATCTGCTGGATGTATTGCTTTCAATCTTGACTTAACTAACTGATCCTTCAAGCTACGATCACGTTTATAAGAAATCATAGGAGGCTCTTTAAAAATGTCTTTGGTGGCTGGGTCTGATTCCAAAATATAATGATTGTCTGTTATAATCTTAGCAATCTTCTTAGAGGTAGGATGGTAAGTTAAAACCAGAGGCGTGCGTTGTGTGGTGTCACGTGCTGTTGGATTCAATGCTTCCTCAAGAGTAACAGTATGCACTTTCTCCAATGATTTACTAATGATGTCAGTGGGATATCCGCATTGATTGAAGAATTCAGCCATTTCTTGGGTTTTTGATTTAAAGTCCTCGTCATTACTACATATCCTTCTG